ATTGGCATATGATGAAGAATCTTTTTGGAATTGTTGGTAGATTTATAGTGGGATCAGGTAAGTAAAGTGCTTAAGTGGATTAAATTGTTGCTGTTTCTGAGTTCTCTACTAAATATTATTGCATCATGTTCTCGAAGAAAAGACCGAGTAAAACATGGTGTAATAGAAGGGAAAAAGGGATCAGTGTGGTGCTTTAGAAGCTTAAAGATCAAAAAGTGATTGTCACTTTCTGGGCTTCGATTTAGGTCTGGAAAATGTATTGAATGTTTTGTATAATCCGACAGTTGTGACTGGAATTCTTGGTGTATACAACGTGGATCGTACATTCCGAGCTTATTTATTATTATTTACATCTTTGTTCGTATTGCAATTAGAAGAATTTATTGTCGAAAATCCTTTTTATCATCCTGTGTTAGAAAACATTTTGAAAAGTATGAATTCTACGTTGAATAATATGTCAGCGTTTGTCAAAGACAAAAGTAAGCAACAGATGAATTACGATGAATTTGACCACACAAATTATGCAAGAATGGCATGTCATCACATATACCAGATAAGTCAATTGAATAAACATTTATTACAACAATTAGAAGATAACTGGACTGTTACAATGAGTGGAAAACCATTTACCAGTGTAGCTTGCGATTATGCAATAGAAAGTACACAAAACAGAGATTTTAAAGGACCAGCTGGTTTAACAGGTTATATGGACTGTGACTTAAGAATGGCGTGGGCTCTATCTTCATCATGGTGTGCTGAGATCAAATTAGTCGTGGATCAGCTCGTTAATGTTAAACATTCTAACACGCCGCATGTACAAGCTACACCAATACGAATACTGACAGATAATAATGATATAAATGCAATTTTAGCAGTGTTAAAAACCGATAATCCATTTGAATCATCCAGAAAAAAAGAATTACATAAATTGTTAAGTGGTGTGCAAATTCAAAGTGATATTGTGATAGATTTATGCAATGCATCAAGTGAACTTATTAAAATCGCTAATGAATTTATTCAAACAAATATCATTAGTAAAGATTCATCCGCTTTTACAACGATTAAAAAAAATAATATACGATTATTAAGTTCATCATCATCGCCGGCAAAAACAATAACAAATAGTAGCAATAGTGAAAAATTCTTTAAATTATTGATTTATTGTCGTCCATTTCGTTCAACATCAATTACATCATTGTTAATATTTAGTCATGAATTTGTAGTCCCTCCACCTGCATTCGTAAATCCAGATGATACGACATTTCAACAAAAATGTAGTATTTTACCATTTATTCAACAAAATTTTTCTAACATAATTACAAGTTCGATCAGAGATCAATCGTTAGTTCTTATATTAGATGGTGATGGTCTACTGAGTAAGCAGACAGTTCGATGCTGCGGCAAACTTGTTCTAAAATAAAAACCGTCAATGTAGTGCTGCGTAACAGGGTTCACGATTTCAGATGTTTAAGAAGATGCGCAATATGGAAACTCATTCAGCTTAACAATACTGTATATTGAACGATAAACGTCTTTGTAGCTAATTGTTCTTTTCTAGAGAAGTACAAAAGAATAAAGATGTGAATATGTGACTGGAGAGATTATAATATGATTTATAGATCGATGATACGTGAACTAAAACACTTCATTTTCTGCTTTGGTTTAGTACCTTTTCAACCCAGACCGCTAGGCGCTTTTTGTATCGCTTTAGGTGAGCACCATCGTCGAGATACGTATCAGGGTTATGCATTAACAATGTTTAATGAAAAAATTCAACCATTACTGCAAAATCATCATCGCATAGATGTAATTTTTTCCTCAACAGATGATTTTTGTTTACAGAACATCGTTAATGAAGATGCTGATAAGTTAACAATTAATCAGTTGAAACCAAACTTTATTATGCCCAAGCAGTCAGAATGGGATAAAATAATTGAAAATAACAAAACGGTTGTTGCACAATGTTTGATTGATATATGGAAATCAGCCAATATTAGTATTCCAAATGGAAAACTAATTATTATATCATGTCCTGATAAACGCTTACTACTATTATCACCACAATACGGAAGCTCATTTGTGAATAACT